CGATCCCAGGGCCCTGAGATCATGATCTGAGCCAAAATCAAGAGCCAGGCGATTAACCGATTGCGCCACCCAGGTGGCCCCATAAATTTGATATTCTTTTTAATAGAGCTTTAAAATAAATTTCTTCAAATGAAATACTCAAGGCTTAACTGTTGAACTAATCAGTAATGTTTAGCAAAATCTTCTTCCCAAAGAATGGAAAAGTATAATAAACATAGTGAAATTGGGAGACTCTCATATATTAAATATCACTTAATCATTAATATTTAAGGGTATTAACTGAAATCTCCTGAAAGCCAGGTTAGCATGGCATAGTTCAATACACACCTAACATAAAATATACAATCACAGTCATTCTATAACTTTCAACTTCGAAGTCAGTGGTTCTAAAAGTGCTGTCTCCTGACCAGCAGCATTACTATCCCTTATGTACTTGTGGGAACTGTAAGTTCCGGGGTCTCATTCCGGACCTGCTAGATCAGAGACGGGTGGGGTGGGATCCAGAAGATCCAGCAATCCATGTTTTACTAAACGCTTCCAGTGATTCTAACGGTGCTGAAGACTGAGAGCCACTTTCTAAGTGGAGAAGGGAAAAGAAAGCTCTGTTTCTGATAGACATGTACTGAAGCAGCTGAAACTGAAATTGAATGTGGCCTTGAATCTGGTCTGAGATGACATCAAAGAGAAAGGTCTGTTAGAAATAATTAAAAGTCAAGTAACCAATCAGTTGGCTCAAAACTGGGGCTAAGAAGCCACTCTCCGTTATTCCCTGTAGAGAAATAAGGTACTCAGAAGGTTAAAGAAAAGGTCAATAAAATTATCAGAGAATATCAGAGTAATGATGGTAACAAGGGAGCTGTCCCAGTAAGAATACATGACATTCCAGGGCGCCTGGGTGGCTCAGTCATTAAGCGTCTGCCTTTGGCTCAGGTCATGATCCCAGGGTCCTGGGATCGAGCCCCGCATCGGGCTCCCTGCTCCGCGGGAAGCCTGCTTCTCCCTCTCCCACTCCCCCTGCTTATGTTCCCTCTCTTGCTGTGTCTCTCTCTGTCAAATAAATAAATAAAATTAAAAAAAAACCAAAAACATGACGTTCCATCTTCCTGCTTAGTGTGGGGAATCACATTTTCTCTATGCTGTCTACTGTATGAAAGAAATGAAATATTACTCTTTCCATTTGTTAATAGAAAAATAAAAATAAAACACTAGGACTCAATACCCTGATTTATGTTGGTCTACATTAAATATGGAAGGAAATATTTAATGATCTATGACCATCTATTTATCTGGCAAAACTGAAATACCTTTGTTAGATGCTGCATTGAGAAAATCTTTTAATAGGCTAACAACCACAAACATTTAAACCATTTATAAGGGCAAGAAAAGAAAATCAATGTCAGAGTGATGGGAAGACAAGAGGTTTCAAAGTCCTCACTGTCATCTATATATCAATCCCAGACCCCTTTAAGTCCAAAATTTTGAATTGCCTCCTAGGTGTCAATTTCAACAAAATAAAAAACTGAGTATATCCAATCAGGTCCTATAGACCGTGTCCTATAGTCTCGATCCTAGCGAATGGAGTTAACTTCTTCCAGGTATACACCCTTAAACAGCCTTCTTCCTCCTTCTTCAGGCCCTTCTCCTACCCCTTCATGTCCACTACCCACTAATAGTTTGTATTTACGAAATCTAGTCAATACCTAAGAATTTATTTCTCCTTCATCTTTTCCATTGTGATCACGCTTATTCATATTCCCATGATACTTTTCCTGTCTTTCTTCACAACTAGACCTTCAGACTCCGAAGAATAGGAACAACGTCTACTCCCTAGCATCCAGCACAAGGCCAGGCACAATAAGCACATGCAAATAGTAAACTGTTCTCTGGAGAATGTACACAAACTAATCTGAAACTCACAGCTCCCGTGACTTCAGGATGCCACCACACACTGCATCTTCTTCCAGACAAAGAAATGAATATGACAAACTTACAAAAGAAGAGTATATTTCCTAATCCACATTTGTCACTTTTTAAGTTCTTTTAAAAAAATTTATTTATTTATCTTTGTGTGTGAGAGAGAGGGAGAGAGAGAGTTGGCATGGATGGGGGGAGGGGCAGAGGGAGAAGCAGACTCCCCACTGAGCAGGGAGTCAGATGCCTGGCTCCATGCGGGGCTCGATCCCAGGACCCTGGAATTATAGCCTAAGCCGAAGGCAGATGCTTAACCAACTGAGCCACCTAGGTGCCCACATTTTAAGTTCTTAAGTAAGTGTTCTAATAATCAGATTTGTATAATTTTTATATTATATCCTCGTTCCTGGCTCATTTCAGGACAAGTTAGGTTTATTTTGTCCACTTGGATATTATTGTTTTCAGGTATAAACACTTGGCTTTAGTGACCTCAACAGAATTAATGGCAATGTGTCTCAGAGTCTTTGGGAGATGCCCATGAGACTAGAAATTCAGCAAATTATAATAATACACAAAATGGCTTACAACAAACACAAGAATCATCTAAAAAATTACAATTTATAAGAGAAAAAAATTCCTGTCAAGAACGTATTTGCTACATACAACGCACTGATTTACGGCAACTTACTCCAAAACATGCTGGCTGTACCTGAGAGATGTATTATCTAAGTAAATCACAGATAAACAGCCAAGCTCTAATGGGATTTACTGTATTCCCCACCCCCGGCCCAGAGAACATCTTTTGTGTGCTATATTATGTTCTAACAACAATGTACCAGGACCTCTGTGGTAGATTGGTTTTGTTCTTTCAAAATGATGAAGTTCAAACAAAAAGATACATATTTTTTGTTTTGTTTTGTTTATTCTCAGTGCCTTCACTGAAGAGGAATTCTAGAATGTACAAATACAAAAGGAAAATTCTTGGCCAGCAAATAGATACAAGAGTAATCTTCCAGAAACACATGGCCTGAGATATTTCTGACTCCTGGCAGACTGCAAACCTTTACTGCCTTTTGTTAATAACCAGGGTTCAGATCAAGTGCCTGTAAGGAGCCAGGACCTACTTGTGAGACTAGCGTTGAGCTCAGAAGTTGAATATCTTCCAACAAACACTCTCATAATAGCAGATATCTTTTCCAGACACCAAATTACTCTGGCCAGCACAAATGTCATTTGCTAAAGAGACATTGAAATGTATGGCCAGTGTTCTCTAGAAAACAGAGCTAAAGTTATTTAGTAATAAATGTAAAAAGTACACTTAATGGCAAGTTTGTTCTATAGACTTGGTGCAATCTAAAATGATCTAGACCACAGTCACAACATCTGTCTCATGGTCCCCTATATAGACATAAGACAAGAGGGTGTACAATATAAGGTCGTTGTTGTTAGAAACCATGGGGTATGACTGTAGAAGAAATTTCAAAATCACAAGGTGACAAAAGCAGCACCTGAACTTACACAGATGAAAACAGACTCCTACTCATTCCTCTCTGTGTCCTGCACTTCCCTTGGTGGTAAAACCTGGGATATAACATATATCTTGAGCTATTACCATGACCTGCCCACTCCTGTCAACGTTTGTACAAGTTTGAAAGGATAGATGCAACAGGTGAATTTTCTGCCAGTAAAATTTTAGTGATATGATGGGAAGGTAACATGCAAACAACGGGATATGAAACCAACAACAAAAAGCTAGTAAAGCAACAAGCAGAGAAGTATTGTCCTTGTGGAGTGTTGCTTTCTGAAAGCTTGGAATCAGGTAAGGGGAAGGGGTGAATGGTGGGCAGGCATAAAAATGTACCATAGAACACAGGCTTCTGACAACACAGCGAGAGTTTTTTTGTTGTTGTTGTTGTTTTTTCAGGAGACACCCAGCCATGAAGTTGTTCTGCTAATAATGGCAAGGATTCAGAAAAAAAGTCCTCCAGTAAAGCAGAGATAACAGGAGCCACAGCAGAGCTGGCTTGAAAAGAATGTAGCTTCTCCTAACAGTCTGTCCTTTGCAGAGGTTGCACATTATCCAATACAGCAGAAACGGCTAGAGGGGAATAACACACATTTGAAGATTTTATTTGAAAAGGCAGATTTTGAGCCACTGCAGTATGTACAATGTCTTTGCAATTAGTCAATTGGATTTGATACAGGGAAGTGAAGAGTTCAGTGTGAGAGGAAAAAGGGATCCAATAGACAATTCAGATACAGGGCAGTCACAGACAGAAGGGTCTAGACAGACAAAAACAGATTCCTTATTCGTTCCTTTTTATGATTTCTCCACTTCCTTAGTGGTTAAAAAAAAAAAAAAGCCAAAGAACAACAACAAAAATAGGAAGATAGGGAAAAAAGTCCCCCACACTGTAGAATTATGTGCCATTTTAGTGTACTTTCTACCGATGACACTAAGACATAGCTACACTTTGGCATACTGTTACTCTGGTTTCTCTTCAGATCGCATAAATCTTTCGCCTTTCACTTTGGCATACTGTTAAACCTATAGTCAGGCTTTAGTTATTTTCAAGTAATCCTTTTTTTTTTTATTTGCCTCAATTTAAAAGAATCCACTAGAGTTTGCTAATGAACAATATCAAACTTAGGTGATCCAATTCACTTTTGCAGTATGATGCAGAATCCCAGAACAGGCAAACAGATTAAACAGGAAAACAGCAAACGGATTCAGCTTGCTGTGGTAGAATGTGAAATGAAAAGACAAGAGTAAAAATACCCACACGCACAGATCCGAGCCTCAAACAGCGTTCTAGGTTGGGCATTACATAGAAAGGTTTCCAATGAATGCGAAGCCACGGTGGGCCCCTTTGTGTTGCTTTAGTTCTCCCTAAAGGTCTGATTTGCCAGGGCAGGGGGCACAGGGACTAGCAACTGTCGGAGGGTATGACGTGTGTAGCTGCCACTAGCTCTCTGTCTTAAGAGTTCTGATTTCCGTGCTTCTAATTCTTAAAATTTGCAGAGAATTTGGATATCCACAGAAACCTTCTGCAAGGAAAATCTATCAAAAACGGTGCTCTGGCACGTACCTGTTTTTCTCCACTGGGCTTTTTGTGGTTCAGTAACAGCTCAACAGCTCCGACAACTTCCTTCCTGATGGCATGTAATAGAGCATCTCCAACATAGACATTAAAGCTTAAAAGTAGTTCAATGAGCTCCAAGTTCTCATTTTCAATTGCAATGAGGAGAGCAGTTCTTCCAAGAGGATCGATGCAATTAATATTGATTTTAAAATAAATTTCCGCTTCCTCCAGGGATTTCTTGACACTTGCATAATCTCCCTTTTCCACAGCATTTAAATAGGCTTTTTCTGATGGTGAGAGCTCTGATTCTGCTCGGACTATCCTTAGAGGGATGCGATCTCTGTAGGGGGCATTCACATTCCTTTTGTAATAGAACTGAGCCATGTTTCATGCCATGCTATTTCCTTGTCTCTGAAAGAGCAAACAGAACCCGAAAAACACAAGGATTAGTGCGAGTACACTTTTTAATCATGATGCGTCACACTTAACAACTAACAATAATGCCAATCACAACAATGATACCATTATTAAATGATAAGGGTTCTTTTCTCCTTCAACAGTGGACACAGACTTAATCATTATTCAGTTACCTAGAAATACAATTACAAAGTTCTAATCTAAGAGAAATAAAAATTGAAAACGTTACTTTAAAAGTGACATCTGTCAGAGGATATACCTGTAATTTTTGGAAATTATTTACAAAATGTATCATATATATATGCAGTTTTTAGCAGAGAACCTTGAAAACTAAAGGCTATATTTTTGAGGCCCTAAAACTGGACCGGGGATATTCAAATGTATCATTCACTGTCAATTTTGCTAATCATGCAGATGCTGTCGAAACTATGAAATATCACTATCTTAGCAAAATGCTTTTCATTTGTCATGTATTCTCTTTTTAAAGTTAGTAAGTACTGACATCAAAGTTAATGTGAATTAATAATATTAATGTCAATAAAATATCATACTGAGCCTGATGAGTATAATTTTTTTTCCCGTGTGTAAGTGAATTCATTGAGAGGGAAAGAACCGATGATATTAATGATCAAGATGAGTCTAAGCAATTCAATTTCCAAAGGAAGAATTTAGAAATGGATTAAATATAGAAAGAGTTTATTATGAAAATGCTATTTTCTTAATTCTATTACCTTAATATCATGAAGCAATAAAGCGCAGGACAGGAATGTATTCATTGCAAAATGTATTATTTGGAAGTTACAGTAAAGATACAGTTGAAGATGAGGGAATTGTTTTAAATAAATAAAAGATCGTCTTAAGATAGATTGATAAGAACAAAATCACTGGAAACTATATTGATTTAGTATCATACTACTGATACAACTTTACAGAAAAATCTATTGTTTTGAATATAAATTTTTTATTGCTGTTAGTTCCTGATTTCATACTTATGATCTGAACTATTTTATTATTCTATGTCATTTATATTCAACTCACTTGTTTATTTACATACGTTTACTATTAAATTAAAATTAATGGGGGATTCTAGGTACCGGAACATGTATATTCATCTTAATTGATCTTTTTAGACCTAATCATTTTATGAGTAAATTAACCTGATTTGAATAATACTTTAAAGGTTATTTTAAACATGCGTTGAATTAACAAGTGTGATTATATTTAATGTAATGTTTTAAATTTGGGAAATTATACATTGCTTGCATGCCCCCTCAACTTAATAGGCATTTCAGTTACCAAGTAGTTGTTTCACTTTTTGATGTTCAGATTATTAATCACGATTTCTCAAATATCTAGGTTCAAGATATAATATATAAAACTTTTTTTCATAATTTGTTCCTTTCTGGTTTTTATTAGATTATTAGATTTAGTAGTTTATTAAGGCCCCTTCATAGATGAAGCAAATGTAAGAATCTCATAATCCAGAATATTTTTCTCAAATATTTCACATTTTATTAGTCTTGGTGTTTTTTTTAACTTTTAGAGATTTTATTTATTTACTTGACAGAGAGAGAGACACAGTGAGAGAGGGAACACAAGCAGGGGGAGTGGGAGAGGGAGAAGCAGGATTCCTGCTGAGCAGGGAGCCCGATGTGGGGCTTGATTCCAGGACCCTGGGATCATGACCTGAGCTGAAGGCAGACGCTTAACGACTGAGCCACCCAGGCGCCCCTAGTCTTGGTGTTTTAGATGTATAATGACCAACTACAGAGCATGATATACATTCATTTCCACAACTGCAGACAGGGGGTGTTGTGAATTCTTTAAATGGCAATATTAATTTTTTTAGAGAAAAATGAAGAGTGATACTGGTGTTCAAATCTATTAATTTGAAGTGTGCAAGTTACTTGCTTGAAGCTTGATTATAATTTCAGTATTTGGAGATGCTTTAACTCACTAGAATCACAGGAGAGAATTTATAGATTTATATTATGGGATAACAAGGACAATTTAATATTCTTCTTGTATAACTAAAGCTATAATAAACCAAGATCATTATGATGCTACATATCTCATTATAATTTTCTGATCTGGAACAACAGCACTTCCCCCCCAATCCATGTCAGCATCTGTAAGAGCATGTGGAACCAATGTCAATGGGCTTCACACTGTAATTTTACCAGGACTACAATGTAAATGTTTCATAATGATAAGTGGCATATATGTTCTATTTCAACAGTATATGCTCTTTAATTCCTCACTTTGTCCTTACCCAAGACTCTTGGAAAAATATATAAATATTCCTTTTTAGAGTTGAATTCAAGTTTTGCCACCAGTAATTGTTTTGCTTAAGACTAATGTTTGAAGGTAGCTTACCAAAAATACAGGTTAAAATGAAGGTATGAACACACACGCACACAGTAGCAGAACTTTGAATTGTGACTCAGTCAAGATTAGGAATCAGCCTAGAGGATGGAATATTTTTTTTTTTTAAGATTTTATTTATTTGAGAGCGAGAGAATGAGAGACAGAGAACATGAGAGGGAGGAGGGTCAGAGGGAGAAGCAGACTCCCTGCCGAGCAGGGAGCCCGATGCGGGACTCGATCCCGGGACTCCAGGATCATGACCTGAGCCGAAGGCAGTCGCTTAACCAACTGAGCCACCCAGGCGCCCGAGGATGGAATATTTTTATCTTATTTTTATTTCATTTACTCATTCTATTAGTGATAATATCAAATAAAGGATTAGATAGTAAATAGCATTTTTTTTGTTTGTTTTAAAGATTTTATTTATTTATTTGAGAGAGAGAGAGACAGAGAGAGACAGAGAGCACGTACACGAGCCAGGGGAGGGGCAGAGAAAGAGCGCAAAGGAGAAGCAGACTCTCCCCACTGAGCAGGGAGCCACACATGGGGGTGGGGCTTCATCCCAGGACCCTGGGATCATGACCTGAGCAGAACGCAGACACTTAATTGACTAAGCCACCCAGGCGCCCTGACAGTAAATAGCATTTGACTTCTTGTGTTTAAAGTGCAGGATGGTGTGCGTTGGTGGTATAGTGGTGAGCATAGCTTGCCTTCCAAATCTCAGGATGTCGGTGACAATGAAGGGATTGGTGGACAACATAGAAGGTACTGGAGAAGTTGGGGGACAGGAGGATAGATAATGAGAAATTAGATTTATTTAAATCCATTTCATTTAATCCAGATAACTGTCATAAATGTAAACTCCACAAGGATGGGTTAAAATGTGAGACTTCCCTGAAAGGAAGACATATTCTAGTCAACACTGTATTTAAAATGTGAACTGGGCATGAGACCTTACATTCGGGAACCTGTTTCGCCATCCATAAAGTGAGGCAAACAACGCTATCAATGGAATGAGTGAGAAGAATCAGAGTTAGTGCTGAAAAATATCTTCTATTAATGGTACTGTCCTCTTTCAATTTCTCGGATTTGAAACAAATATAAAACCCGATGTGAATTGGGAAGGATAGGCAGATTTGAAATATATTAAATATGTTAAGAATTTAAATATGTTAAATAAATGAAATTTAATTATTTACAATGGACTATAGAACACACACACATAAAACAATTCTGGCTAAAACTTTAAAAGAGTAAGGAAGATTATGTAATTTTTAGACAAGTTTCTGTACTAGATTACTTGAGATGCAGGGATACTAATAGAAGGACAAAAATCAAGTTTAGCTTCTTGAAACTGTGAAAGATGAATGTAATAGTGCAAGGTGCTAAGGCTGATGGAGTTCCTGAGCTGACACACTGGTCAGCGACTCTGGAATTGCTGTTGGATAGAAAGTCTGTGAAAGAACAGGAGGCTCAGTACAGCGAAGATCCTGACCTAAAGTGTGTGAATAAAAGCCTGTTCCTGGTCCTGCATTTTCAGAATGAGCTTTCTGGGGAGGAAAAGATGTTTTCCCCCATGAAATCACAGAATTTATTTCAATGCCCCCTTTATAACATACCATCCAGAAGTGAAATGACTGTTTCATCAAGTTACATTTCAAAGACTCAGAAGAGAGATGGGAAGTGATGGGAAAAAACTCAAATTTTGTGTGTGAATTTCTAATTAACCTAAATTTTAGTTTCCGTAAATGTGTTGGGAATTAAAACAATCACAAAGCTGGAGAGAGCTACACCTTGCCATCAAGAGAAATTTTTTAAAAATGTCACTAGATGTGAGAACCACAATTATCTAAGCAACATAAACAGAAAAACAAAGGTCCTACATCTTTATATGAATTAGAAGGCATATTTCTTGGAGATGGACTTAGTTGTACAGTGGAAAGAACAGTGGGCTTCCAAACAACACAAAGAAAATATACAGAAATCTCCACTCTTGAGTAGACATTATTAAAGTTAAATAAATTTTTCATATATATATATATGAAATCACACTTGTAAATGTGAATCTTTGACAGTAAACCAGGGAATAAAAAGCAATGCCCTTTGCAATGGTTAACTGTCAAAAGATTCATGGTTATAGGTGTGATTTCATGGCTCAGTGAGAAATTTGACTCCCATTTTTTTGTTAGGATACTAGTACACATATTTAAATTGCTTTTGTACTTTTTCTGTACTCTTATATGAAATGACATTTTCCAAGATAATTTATTCACATTCAATCCAATTCAGAGTTCTTTTTGTCTACTGGTACAGTACATTATCTCTAATCTTCGACATGATACATACCCCACAAAAACGCCAAATGTTCTGATTTTTGCTATTCTGAATTCCAGACCCTTTCCTACTTTCCTCAGGCAGGGTACTGTATGTGCATTTCAGTAGTTGTAAGTCTTGTACCAAAAGTGCCACATAATTCATTGAAATGCTTTGTGACATAGCTTGACCAAAACCTAACTGACAAAATTCTCTCTTCTCTCTCTCTCTGTAAAAGCACAATGAACTACTAAATTCCTCTGAAGGGTTTTAAGGATACTTCTGTGAATTTCAAGAAGTTCATGTTATATTAC